AAAGAAAAGTAATTACTATAAGTAAATATAATACATAATTCAATTAAATCTTTTATACGTAAAGCACTTATATTTTGCTAGTATTGATATTAGAAAGGAATAATGCTGTAGGACAGTTGGAAATAAACCTCATAATTTTGAACTTTGATAAAAGATGATGATGACATTTGAGAAGAGATTTTTCATTTCCTTCACTTTCACGCTGTGTTACATGGAATTTTGTGTTTTAGAGATTGAAATTATGTTCAAGTTCTGATTCCACCTAGTTGTGCCATAAGTTCTTAAACGAAAATTTGAGATCGTCTGCGACTCAAACGTATCAAACGATTTTAAAGTTTGTCGCTGAAGATTGTCTGCAATATTTTTCAAAAATTTGAAGTCTTTCACGCAAGCTGTTCAAAATCAGTCAGAGTCTTAACCCTTTGAACAGAAGCTTGGAGCGGAAGCATCTCTGCAGAAAAAAAAAAAAAAAAAAAAAAAACAGGCTCACTACAGAGGATTCTTAAGTTTCTTAAACATTGACATCAAAAAGTTATTCATTTATTGAATCAATAAGGGATTTTTTTGAGACCGGCAGCATTGCAGACTACTAGAAACGGTCTTCTGTGCTTTGAGTGAACGGCAGCTGAGGGGAATTCGTAGAAATCCTTGTAAAATGAAGAAAAAAAAAGAGGTTCTTCTTGCTTAATAAGAGAACATTTCAAAAAGAATAATCTTTCGCAAAAAGCATGAAAACCTTAGACTAAGAGGTTATCTAAAAATACCTGGCAATTTTTTTACAAAATAATTATTCGCCAGAAGTACCTTAAGGTATCCGACTGCGTTCGGAATCGTGATTTTGCAAAAGCGTATAGATGGATAATATTTATGATATTTAGTGTCACTTAGATTAGAATACATGTATAAAATTGTTTTAATGACATTTTGAGAAAAAAATTATTTAAATACAATATTTCGGCAAAAAATTAACTTAGAATAACCTTTTTTCAAAATGTTCTCCTTTTGGGAAAAATGCTTCTATTCGAATAATATTTTGCCTGTATATATCTCAGACCTCTGTACAGACGCTCAATTATGATTTTTGAAAAAAAACGCCGATAATTATTTCAATTGATAGTAACTCTGAAAATAATGTGAATTTTTCAAAAATCATAGTTGAGCCTCTACAGAGGTCTGTGCTATATACAGGCAAAATATTATTCGAATAGAAGCATTTTTCACAAAAGGAGAACATTTTGAAAAAAGGTTATTCTAAGCTAATTTTTTGCCGAAATAATAAATTTAAATAATTTTTTTTGTCAAAATGTGCTTAAAACAATTTTATACATATATTCTAATCTAAGAGACACTAAATATCACGAAAATTATCCATTTATGCGCTTCTTTAAAATCCCGGTTCCAAACGTAGTCGGATACCTTAAAGCAAAAGCACTGTTACGGCGGTATCAGACGAATTCTGCTTACCAATGGGTAAATTTTCGACACTGAAAAATCTTTCACCCACCAGAATGGACTCCAGGAGTACCCAAGAAGCTAAAAAGAAGAAAAATGTGGGCAGAGAGCTAATCATTCGGCTTTCGTAATGGTTTGGTAGGGTGTGTGCTCTGAAGGCGTCCCTCAGATTTTTTTTTTTTGTAAGAAAGAACTGAAAACCTCGGCAAAAGTTTATCAAGACACTATCATAAAACTAATAATGAAGCTTCTAAATGTAAACTTGTTAACTAGAAACGATTGGATTTATGAGCAGGACTCTGTTTCTGCTCATATGATGAAGACGACTAGGTAGTGTTTGTGAAAGAGAATGCCCTGGACTTTATGGAATACGTAGATTGACCTTCTCTAGCCATCGAAGTTTAAATCCACTTGACTATAAATTGTGATCCTTATTAGAGGGAAGAGGTGTGCCAGACATGTTATCTCTATAAGAATAGTCTTAAGCGTTCTTAAAGTCAAGCAGCAATGGAAATTCCCACTGGGTTAGAGCGTGCCTCGTTAGATGAGAGGCCAAAGAGACTTAAAAGAGCGTGTGAAATCAAAAGAGGGTAATTTTAAATAAAAAAAAGTTGCGATATCTTAAATTTAAAGGTAAGAAATAAAACTTTAAGAAGGTTTAATTTTAAATTTCATTGCGTGTGTGGGCAAAGTCTTTTATTTTAATTCCTTTATAACTGTATCAGAGTTTATGGCACAATTAGGTAGTAAACATATGACGCTTGGAGTAATGGGAATTACTATACTTTAAATTGAACTGGGTCTCAAGTGTATGGAAGCTCAGAACAACTTGATGCAACTTTCTTCTGAACAACTGGTGTTCATTCTTCTATGCAAGAATTTCGAAGCTTTGTTCAGTTTAATGTACAGAAATTCCATTTTCAATCCAAAATATTATTTACATTATCACATAAACTATTATGAATTGTTTTAAACCTAAATACTTATTAATGCATGCTATCTTCTAAAAGAAAGCTAGCAATTTTTCCATTCCCCTAAATATTTGTTGATAATTTAACCCTTGATCAACCGCATTATGATTTACTGCAGTTTTTTTTCATACAATATTTTTTTTTGAATCCCTACATTGAAAATTAAAGGAAAATATGTATAAAAAATACTCAACTTTGGGAAATTTAATCCGTTAGAGCTAATTAATCAATTAAAGATATTCAACTGTAAAACTAATTATATACACTGTTCACTTAAAATAAATAGTCGAATAGTTTTCTACGTCTTCATTAACATGCAAAAAAATAAGAGACATTTTTTGACATTAACTCTTTTTTTCGAAACAAAAATTATTGAAATCTTCGCAAACCGCGGAAAACGCAATTTCTGCTACAAAACTATTCGCCTTTCCTAAAATACTCGTCATAGAACCCGTGCTGCCATATATTTTGGAAGAGTGGATTTAAAAGAATAATCTTGTTAAGTATCGTCAGAGTATTGGTAAAAATGGTTATTCTATGTAGTATTAAAGTGAATGGTACTTACAAGTACCTTTGGTAGAAAAATGGTTAAAAGGGTACTTTAAATTTTTTCGATAATATCTTATTACACAAAATAAAACTTTTTTAAGAAAAAAGGCAAAATCGTAGCTAAAGACACTTTAGATAAACCTTTTTCTCAAATAGATTAATTCTAGATGCCAATAAGGCAAAAAAAAAATGATATTTGGGAGTTGCAATTTTTGTTTAAAATGTTAAAACGTTTGCTTGAAAAAACTAAATATACAAACGTTTTGTAAATATTGTATTATTGAAACTACCTAAATGACCCCTTTTTTACTTGGATGAATGTAACAGTAAAGTCAGAGTTTATATATATATATAAATAAAAATAAAAATTATCTTTAAATATTCATAATATTAAAGAGAAAATAACAAAAACTCAATAGTTTTTAGTAAGATGATATTTAGCTTTTTACTCAGTTTTGTGTGTTTTTGAGTATTGGATAGTTCCGTCATACCATGAAAAACTCTTCTTTAATGTCTATTATTTTAAATCAGTGGATCATGTACCAACAAAAAATTGTTTACAAAAGTGTGTGTTTATTATTTTGAACAGAAAATCTTTTTTTCAAACACTATAAGGCAGTAAAATAACTATTTACCAAAAAAAAAGTGTGATACAGTAATACCTGAACTTACGCGAAAGGTGACATTGGGTGATAATTGTGTAAGTCGTAAGACGGGGTCCTACTATTAGTTCACTCTCTTCCTATATATATATATATATATACAGTAGAACCTCTATATTACGAATTTTTCTATATAGAGAACTTATTCCTGGAACCTTGAACATTTTACGATTTTCTTCGTAAAATAACCTCTCTATAGCGAAGAACATTTTCTATACAACGAACTTTTTCTTTTGTGATTCAATTTTTTTTCTCCCTATTTTTAAATTATTTCTGAGCATTTCAAGTTATTCTCCCTCTTAACACATTTTATGGTGATCATAAATCTTGAACTGGTTTTATTAGGTCCTAATTCGCAGAGAGCGATACAGTTCTGGACGTTTCACCCAAGAAGTGCAACCTTTAAACCCCATTGTCCAGTTCTCTAGATGTTTTATAGAAACACCCTTGATATCCCCTTTCAGCCTCAGTGGAGTTGTCCCGTGTCCCCGAGCTCTAGTTATAAAATAATGTATGTTTAATATTACTCGTATTTTTTAACTTAGAAAATGTCCTTAAAATTCGTTAATTTTAATAAAACATTTTTTTCTTAATATTTAAAATACCGTGTATTCGACATTCTTTTCTCTTGTTTTCCTTGCAGCTTTTCTTTTTTTTTTATGAGTAGGATATATTAAATAAACATATATTAATTAAAAAAAGGTGTGAATAATTACTTTTTTAATACATAGAGCTTATGAATTTAAAATTTGTTTTATGTGGTTTATAAAGTATATTAAAAGATGAACCTCTATATAACGAGTTTTCCATATAACGAACTTTTTCCGGGATTTAGCGACTTCCTTATATAGAAGTCCGACTGTATATATATATATATATAGTCTAATTCTCTACACACACACACACACACACACACACACACACACACACACACACACACACACACACACACACACACACACACACACACACACACACACACACACACACACACACACACACACACACACACACACACACAAACAAGAGATAAATATCCATCAATCACATTCGAAAAACACATAGACAGTAGGAAAATCACACAATGAAGGACACATAAGCAACCGAGATTATATAAATATATGTATATATATATATTGTCTATCTTGTCTATTGTTATCTTGTTTAAATTTTCAATCGTCAATAAAATACTTTCTATTCATCCATTTAAATTTAATTAAATTTTGTTAAACTTGTAGTGGATGACACTGATATTAATACAGTTTTTTCAAATATTAATTCATTAATTAAATTAAAAAAAGGAAAAATAGTGACAAACAAAAATAATAATCCATCAGCATATATGAGAAAGAACATCGCTCGTTGTGTCCCTCTAACGCAGTGGATAGCGCATTGGACTTCTAATCCAAAGATCATGGGTTTGAATCTCACGTGGGATGACTTAATTTCTGAGAATGTGATTTCTGTTTTTACACTGCACTATTTTTGAATAGTTAAATTTAATAATGAATAAATAGTAACGAACAAAAAAAGGAAATAGTCCAACACTCTATATAGAAAGGAAAAAGGAAAATTGCTTTCTATTTTGTCACTTATAATATTGGGATTCTCTCAATATATATACATATTTATATTAATTGTAACTATTTAATAAAAAGTACTTAAAATAAAATTTTCTTAGTTGACCTAAGTAGGAATTGACTTATTTTTTATGTATATTACTTATTTTGATGTAGAAAGTTTCATAAAAGCTAACAAAAAGGTAGTCTGCAGCCAAAAAGATTTTTTTTCTCCCGGAAAGTTTCCTCGTAGCATGCTTATTCCTTGTTTTGTTAAAAAAAATACGCTCTTCGTTTTGGAGTCTATATTTTCTAAAATTTGTAATTCTTTTTCAATTAAATTGTTGTCTTCTGCCGGATTCTCATTTGTCATTCGATCTTCTGATTGAACTGGGTCTAAAGACTCAAGTTCTTCAATATCTTGCTCTGTTCATGCATTTCTACAAGCTCATCAAATGTCAGCTGCTGATTGTGGGAATTCAGCAGTTCTTAAACGTCATCACTATCCACTTCTAAATTTATTTGCCTAGCAAGATTGACGACTTCTTTAATCAAATTACCAATTTCATCAGGCTCTGATCAGACACTGATTCCCCAGAGTTTCAGTGATGGAAAAAAAGTAATGAATAAATAAAACAAGTAAGAGAAATTTTTTTTTAACTACTTAGATCAACAAAGACAAATTTTATTTTAGCTACTTTTTATTAAATAGTTACAATTAATATAAATATGTATATACATAGGACAGAATCACAACATTAAGTGATATCTAATTTTTATTAATTATCATTACAGTATCGTATTGTTATCCAAAACAATCGTGTATATAAAATTTCAGTTCAACTGAAGGCTTTAAAACGGGAGAAAAAAAACCCTTTTCAAGTTTTGGCACAAGTCGCCAAAAGGGTCGTTAAGTCACCAAAAATGATGCCAACGTGGCTGTATTTGTAATTCTTTAAATAATTAGTTTTAATCAATTAATTTTTATTAATTATATTTAAATTATTGTATTGTCATCCGAAATAATCATGCATATAAAATTTCAGCTCAATTGAGCGCTTTAAAATGTATTTTGTGAAGATTGAAAATTCCACCGAGATAAATAAATAAATAAATAAATATATAGAGAGTGTGAACTAGTAGTAGGAATTGAAAAAAGGACTGATTGACGAGATTTGAAAATCGCGTAACTCCGAATTCGGCGTAAGTCGAGGTATTACTGTGTATGCAAGTACCGAAGGGTGTGATAAGTGAAGAGAAATAAATATTATAGTTTAAATTTTTCAAGCACTTCAAGGGAATCAATTGTGGAAAAAATTGATAATACTAAGTAACTAATATTAAGGCAAATTTTTAAAATCAGTTACTTGATTCGCAATTCAATCTCGGTATTAAAATTGAAACGGCAAGTCTGTATAGTTTCAGTTGAAAATATAATTGATCGTGACAGTTTGTTTTCCTTGTGATATAGAATCAGTTTAAAGTCATTTCAAGTAATGTTTCGAATATATATTTTAACTTCCATTTAATTTCTTCGAAAATTTTTCTATTTAGGTTATATAATCTAAATATAAATTATTCTCTTGCTATTGTTTCATCAAGTTTAAATCAATTTGAGGTAATTAAGCTTAAAAGTTTTGTTAGATTAAGAGAATATATTTTTTTTATATAAAAAACATATATTTGTACAACGCGAGTTTCATTTTTATGAATGTTAAAATGAAATAATCCTTGTGGCAGCGAAATTATGTTCTCAATTACGGGGTCTCAGGGGTGTTAAATTTCTCTAGAGGTCTGAAAATATAAACAATTTTCAAACACGTATAATTCTTTTAAATTTAAATTAAATGATTCGAATCTTTTACGTATTATTTAAAATAGAATGGGGCTTCAGAAAAGTATAAAATGTTTGAAATATAATAATAATTTTTAAAGTCATAAGCATATGAAAATTCTATAATAAATATTAAGTATTTTTTGCTTTGCACACGCTATTTTCTAAAATATTAGCCTCTGATGTATAAAACTTTATAGAATTATACAATGCATCATATTCTTTAAACCCTACCTAATTTTAGTAATATATATCTTTTGTATTTCAAAATATTTGTAAAATATTGCAATTTTTTAAATATTTTTTTAAAAATGCATATTTTCTATTTATTAAAATATGTAAGTTATTATTCTATTTATATAAAAGTAGCTACAAAGTATTAAGAATACATTTGTCTTTATAAATCAACTTATATAGCTAGTAATTAAACCTACTCTTTTAGAAAATAGCATGCACGACGTAAAACTTAATAAATATTTCTTATAGAAAAGTTTCTTATTTTCATATGCTTATAATTTTTAAAATTATGATTATATTTTAAACATTTTATACTTTTCTGAAGCCCCATTCATTTATAAGTAATGTGTAAAAGATTCGAATTATTTAATTTAAATTTAAAGAAATTATATTTGTTTGAAAATTGTTTATATTTTCTGACCTCCAGAGAAATTTAACACCCCTGTGACCCCTTACCGGAAACATTAAAATTTTTAATACATGGATGCCAATGCTGCAATTTCCTCCAAAAAAACAAACAAACCTAGGTTTATAATTATCTAAGTTTAGCTTAAAACTTAGTAGAATTTGAAGCAAATTAAAGAATTAATAACAGAGAAAAATGAGTTAGTTTAAGTCCAATTAACTCCAAGTGAATAAATTCAGTATACTTATTTTTAAAATATTATTACTTATACCAGAAATTTTGTCTGCATCGATGCAACAATTTTCTATGCATAGGTATAACTTTAAATAACCTATAAAATTTAACCCGAAAACTATTGTTTCAGTGACCAAAATTCAATTTAGGTCTTTATAATAACGATTCGGTAAAACCATTTCATTTTCATCTAGACAAAAGAAAAGACAATAGATAACTGCCATCATTTTTCTCGTGAGTAATTTTCGTAATTTCAGTAAAAGCAAAAAACTATTAAGCGTAAGATCCTCCACCCTCACAGTGGATACTACAATTCAGAAAGGCGGGAAGAAACGTATATGTACCGAAAAAGGTACATAATTGATATTGATTCTTCTAAAGAATTGGTAATTTACAGAATGGTGGTGTTTTTGATACATTTCTTTTATGCATCGATAAATATATATATTTCAAAGAATATTTTGTTTTCTCTCCACCCACTAAAAGGTATCTGAGAACAACTTAGGGATCAAGGACCCTCAGTTCGTTGAACTTGTACTGGACGCTAGAAGAACCACGTGATTGGTTAGTATTCGATGTTCAATCGCTAATGGAAGGTATATCGTGGAATGCATAGAATTTTTTTTTTTTTCTTGTTGTGAATATTACACCTTTGGATTGTTTGCGGAAATGTTGGCGGAGTTCCTGATATATCGTGTAGACTTCTGTGGGAGTCCGTTCCATGATTCAGAGAGAGAGTTTCACGCGTGTTTAGCTCTTAATGGATGTTTACTAAGACGTGTTTAAAGAGTTAAAACGTTTATTTTTGATTTCTGTGGTTATATCGATCTTTAATGCTAGTTGAAGAGTATTTGCAATGAAGCAGAAGTATTTGAAAATAGTGTAAATTTCAGTGAGATTTTTGATGTTAAGGAGAGACAATACATTGGATAAATATTTATATTGCTAGAAAAATTGCTGTTATAGACCTGCAATGATGCATCTGCCTCACTTACTATGTCAGTGATAAAAAAACTTACTATGGGAATTTTCAGTGTTATTACGTTTTTATTTTTGTGAATACGTAAAGATTCAAAACATTGAAACAAAAACTGCTTTAGATAATCAAATATTCTAAAGGCACTTAAAGCTGGATAATTTTAACAGAAGGAATACATCTGACTTTTATTGTGGAAGAAAATTTAGCAATTGATTGATTTAAACTGTCGAAATCACATATAGAAGATAAACTGTGTTGTATAATTGTCAAATTTGCTTAAAAAGGGATTGACAAAACTAGAGCACACTTATATTTTTTAAAGGATCAAATTAAATACTGTGAAAATAGCTTTGCATAAAAAGCTTCGAAAACTATTTGAGAAAATTATTTCGAAAAGTTGTTAGATATTTTACTCAAAATTACAGAGGAAAAAAATAAACAAGATGCAGTGATCTTTTTCTCCGAAAGAATTGGAAACAAGAATAACGAAATGGTAAGATGTTTCTTCTCATCCCTCTTTGAGAGTTATTTGTTTTTATAAAGTACTATATAAGCAAACGTTTTGCAAAGTATTGGATTAAGATTACTTTTCATGTTTCTTAAATATATAAAATATTTGTATACATTGAGAAGTTATTATTATTTTTTTTATTTTTGTTGATTAAAGAATACTGCAAAATTTTTTTGCTTCTAATGTTTGAAAAAAAGAAACATTAAGTAAATTTGAATATGAAAACAATTATTTATAAGTATAATACGAAAAGTTAATATAATTAATTTTGAAGGGTGAAAGTTATAAATGTTTTTCTGATTATATATAAATAGGTTATTTTTCATTAATAAAAAAAACATTCTGAAAATAAATAATTGACAATATATTCTATTAATTTCAAACTATTTTATTTTGTAAAAATATAAATAATAGGCAACTTTTTTTTTTATATACTAAGATTTACAACCATTAAAATAATTACTTTATGTTTTATTCTGAAAAATTTCCATAAAAAGTAAAAACTTAAAGTAACTAATTGCGCGTAGATTTATGTCACAATTATTATTTGATTCTATCTCATCTTTTTCCATTTAAAATGAGGAATCGAAATATTTTAGTTATAATTTTTTAATCTTGAATAAAAATTTATCGCAATAACCAGAAATAACAGAATTGATTACTTAGGCCTGCATTAATG